CCGTACTGGACCGCAAGGGATTCAGCGGAACATCGATCCCCTGGAACTTCTCCATTTGGTTCTCCAGTTCTCTCACTATGGGGATTGCCTGGCTAAGGAGGGCATCGCCGGTGCTAAGGGTCTTGGTGGCCTTGAGGAAGGGCTTGAGGACCACCAACATCTGGGAGATTGTACCCCACTGAGCTCTGTTCAGGGTGGTGCTGACCCCTATCTCCCCAAGCAAAGCCATCTCATGGATGGCCTTCTGTTGCTCCATCAGCCCCTCGAGCATCAGGTATGTGGAGTTCCACTGAGTCTCCACATCCTGTATGATTCTGTGCTGTGGGATGCTCAGCTTTGCCTGTTTCTTCTGCAGCATCTTGCCCCCCTTGCTGCTGCAGTGGAAGTAGCCTGCCACCTTCCTGCATTTTGAAATCAGCTGGCTTGCTTGTAGCAGTACTGGTGACGGTGCCATCACTGGCAGCCCTGTCCCCCTCCAAGGCATCCCTCACTATTAGGTGAAGCCTGTGTGCCACATAGCGGATGCATCACGGGCAGCCTTCACCATATTGGCCCTGTTGTCGGTGCCCATGAACCCATGGGTGATGTCGGCCTGCCCAATGAGCCACCCCTGCACCATGCGGTTCATGGCCCCCATGATCTCCCTTGCAGCGTGGGACTCATCCAGCACCTTGGCTTGCAGTAGAGCCCACCAACAGCCTGACTGATCACACCAGTGCCCCATGAGGGAGAGGTAGGCGTGTTTGCCACCCTGGCTGCTCCAGATGTCAGAGGTGAAGTTCAAGGCTACCTGCCGCCCTGCCTTGCACAGCTCCTCCCTCAAGTACTCCATGGATGCCTGTTACAGGGAGGGCACCACCACCCTGCTAAAGGTGGTGCATGCAGGCACTTTGTAAAATGGAGCCAGAAGTGTTACAAACCTCCTGAACCCTGGTCGCTCAACTAGGGAGAAGGCTGGCTATCCACAGCAAGCATCTCCACAATGCTCTGGGTGATCTCACGCACCTTGGGAACGCGCCCCGCTTTCTGTCCACCTTTCCCCCACTGGTACAGGGTGGCCTGCCTCTGCTTTGGGGGCAACGGGGCTTTGGAGTGAGCAGGGGACTTCCCTTTTGGCATGCTTGCACTGGTGCCAGGCTGAGCAGCAGGAAGAAGGGCAAGGGGGTGGTGCCTCCTCAGATGCAGCATCATGGCCATGGTGGAGAAGTGCCTCATGTCCTTGCCACAGCTCACGTGCCTTTGGCAGTGCTGGCAGATGGCAAACCTGGGATCATCTGCCACCTCAAAATGATCCCACACTACACTACTCCCCCGCTTCTGGGCTTCGACCCAGAAGTGCTGCTTTGGCATCCAAAGCCAGTCCGGATCTGAAGCGGGATCTGAAGACTCACACAGCCCTAGTATTTACAATTTCTGAGTGCACAACTGGATAAGGGTGTGATACTTCTAGCTGGCAAAATCCCCTGTGTTAAGAGCTGACAAAACTTGGGTTAGGTGGGTAAAGCTGAGATGCCGTAGGTCAGAGAAGTACCCATGGAGTATCTTAATCTGTTCTCAGTGGTCAAGCAGCAGAGGGCAGAGAGGCATTTGGGGCTGATGGGCATCCCTGAAGGTATGAGAACACCACTTGAGTGCATCTCAAAGGTGCATCTGACTGTATTCAGGGTCAAGCTATGTCACAACTCACCAATAGTCACAGATCCTTTGCTCAGGAAGAAGGCAGGACAGCATGGCACTTTAGAGACTAACTGTTTGGAGATGCATACGTTTTTAATGTAGTAGGCACCCAACAGCCTACTTTGTCAGATGAAGTAGGCTGTCATCTACAAATGTTTATGCGTCTCTGAACCAGTTAGTCTCTAAGGTCCCTGAACTTCAGATCAACTCATCTACCTCTCTTTTCTCAGCAAATGTAGGGATTTCTCCCATTTTTTGCTCCAGGGGTACAGACTGCTTCAAGAAGACAGTGAGATGACAAGTAGAAAATGGATTCCATTCCCCTCTATCTTGGCCCATGAAGCTGGCCAGCTTTGGAAACATGAGAAATACTGTATGAGTGTACAGGTTTACTCTGGAGAGCTCCCTCAGCCTGGAGTCCACAGCCCTTGGATTTTTCTTCGCTGGACTCAGGTGACACGTCCTAATGTAGGCTAGAGCATTTAGGTTGCAATACTTAATCCCTTTGCATTATCTCCAAAAGGAAGGCAATCAAAAAACACCACGTAGTCATTAGCTTAGATACTGCAATGAAAAGAAAAGGCATAATTAGCATCTACAAGCACTAAAATGAAAGCATAGAAGAAAATCTCCAATGCAGAGCAGAGATAAATGAAAAGCTGACCTGCAGAACCAAGTCATCTGTAAGCAACTGAAAGCAATTTGATAGCTGCTTTGACCTACTCTAAGAAAGGAACATTACAGGGGAGCACATGTGCTATTCTAATTAAGACTGAATCTGCGGTTCAACTACAAGCATTAACTGTATTTTCAGAGGCGCTTGGGTTCGACTGTCATTTTGGGTGGAGACTCAGGATAGAGCTGCCAGCAGGGGAGCAAAGTCCCCGGGACAGAGCTCTCAGCAGGGGAGCACATTAAAACCAAAATCGGTTTGGGCCTAGGGGTGCCTGTACATGAGCGCGGAGGCTGCACAGTGGGTTGGAGCAGACTCGATTAATCTGGTCAGACTGATTAATCGAGTCTGCTGGAGTGTGGTAATTACTGCACTCCAGCAGCCTCCGGAGCCTTGTGCATCAGCATCTCCACGTTAAAAACTGGAAGCAGGGGCACTTGAACTAAAGCACCTCTGGAGCGCATGTAGAAGTGCCTTAGGTGCTTAAATTCCTGACTAAGCTCTAAGAAGAATGTCCCTTTGCTACAGTTAGTGCTTGCGGCATAACATTCCGGCCTATGACTCTACCAGTCTGTTCCATTCTCATGATTAGAGGGTAGGGAGCAGTTATAGGCAAGGAAGTTACAGGCACCAAAATCATGACATTAGCTAAAATCCTAAGATTTTAAAAAAAATGATTGTTGAGTGTTTTTATTTGGTGTCTGGTTCTGGACTTGTATAGTGCATCGGGTGGGTGATGTTTTGGCATCGTCTGCACAGTAGCTAGATTGAAAGAAAAAAAAAAAGTTGAGATTCTTATGTAATCGTTTGATTCCAGGGGACAGGATTTTAAGAAAAACACCGAATACCACAAGCCTCACAGTGAAATGGTTGAAACAACCAATTGACTTATTTCAAAATCTACAAAAGCAAGATCAACCTCAAAATTAAAAGTGGATTTTATTCATTTTCAAGCACCTCAAAATAATAAGAATAAAATCAAACATAGAAAACCACAAGCAAGGATTCAGGCTATAGACAAAACTTACCTTAGTTACTTTACCCTACAGAAAGTACAGGCACATTAAGCTCAAGTCTGCATATCTTGGCACGTGCAAGTGTGCTCATGCAACAGTCTTGTTTCATCATAAGAATTTAGTTATCAATGGACAGAAATGGTTATTTAAAAAAAATATATATTGGCACCAAAATGGAAGCATTTCCCTTGGGGTTTTTTTTTCCATTTAAAAAAAAAAAGAATATATATGTATCTGATTCAGATTGGGCAACATTTCCTCAATCTGTGAGCTTATGGCTTGGTTTGGAAGTTATTCTAGCTAAGTGCTTAAACTAGTTCTTGGTCATTCTGCAATAAGAGCTCTTGCTCTAAGCAGTATATAATCCTATGACCTCGAGAACTGGGAAAGTGTAAGAGAATGAAGAGACATCAAGAAAGAAATGAATAAAGAGTATCAACAAAAATGAAGTGAAGAAGGAAAGAAATGAAAGTAAGCAAGAATAGCTTCAAAACTTGGAAACATTTAGATTGGTTTAATCAGCCTTTACACATCATAAAAAAGGAGTAGAAAGATGACATATAGCCCTACACACTGGTTTAATTAACCTGAATCTAATATAGAAATCCCGCAGTAAAAAGCAAAGGCAAAACTGCACCAGTATAAATTACATCAGCATGGATGTTATGGGTTTGCCAAATAACTGAGGATAGCCACTGGCTTAAGGCAAATGGTCTCCCACAACATAAGGTGAGATACTCAATAGTGCCCGCTGTGAACAACTATCCAGGTGAGCTGCTTTTCTGTCTGCTCTAAATCTTGGTTTAATTTAAACCTATCTACAAAACCATGTGTGTTACACCAATGAAAATGCGTTCTCTCTCCAGGTCCTAGGCGAGTTAAACAGAGACGAGAGAACAAAAAAAGTGCTTTTGCAACTAAGAACCATAATAACAGAATGCATCCTTATGACTTATTTTAATAATATAAAAACAAGTGCATTTTCCAAATGGTTTTCCAGAATATACAGGACTTAAAAATGATACTTTAAAACAACAACATTAATTACTTGAATTAACATACAGAATATTAACATTTTTAAGAATTTACAAGTTTATAAGCAACTATTAAAACACATACCAATATAAACACAGTTCATAACTAATTTTGGAAAGAACTAATTTTTATATTTTATTAGAATGAAAAGAACAAGTGAAATATTTTTTCTGTTATCCAATAATTTTAACTAGTATTTTTTAAAAGAGCAATTATTTATTGTATTCAAAACAGTAATAACCATCACATAGAAATTCATACTAAATTAGTACAGTTAATATTTGGTAGTTTGGAATTGTTATTATATGAATGAAATAACCAACTCAAAACAAGAGCATACAATATTTAATCTGTATATAAATTTCCCTCTCCATCCATTTCAGTTAATCAATAAAGGCAAAACATTTTTGTTGGAGTTTGGAAGGAGGAGAATCAATGATCACTATCATGTATTAATTAATATCTATTCTTACCAAGTATAGTATAAATGAACTACTATTTGCATAAGAGAACTTTTATGTTCAGTGAGATCTTATGAGGTCAATGCATATTGCATAATAGTTAAATATATTTACACACATACATGCACAAGTACTCACCCAACGGACAGGAAAGGCTCCTTTGATTCAAGTCTGTTAAGTAAATAACAAATGTTTAAAAAATGTATACGCGTATTGTATCTATCACATTTAAACAATGGACTTAAAAGGGTTGAGTGAATTTATTGCATTTGATTTGGTAAACAAGGCACAATTTGGAAACAACAGTAGCATATTATGGGTCTAATCCAATACTCCCTGGATTTTATTTTTAAAGAAGCAGCAAAATTAGGGCTTGATCAAAACTAAATTGACCTGTAAATTGACCTGTAAATGTTACAGCTTGGGAAGACTGTGGACAGGAAATGCAACAGAAACATTTTCATTCCTTTCATACTCCATATCCCCTCTCCCAGGCCTCCCCCATCCCAATGTTGCCTGCTGGGTTGTTCCACCCATGCCTTCCCAGGCCCTGCTTCAGGAAGACACTTTACTCTGTAAGCATTTTCTAAGCTTTATGCTTAAAGTTAGACATATACTGAAGTACCTTTCTTTCCTGATTTGAAGCCTTCCATGCTATCACCCTGCTTTTCTGTTCATCCACACAGCTCTTTGCAGAAAGTTATCACCTTTTTAGCTCAGGCACTTCAGGTAGACATGCCATGATAATGCTATGATATATCCTGGGTGCATCTACATGTGCACTTTACTGCAGAGCAGACTAATTCGTAGCAGAGTAAAGCATTACAGTCCACATGTGCACTGGTATTAGGCCACAGTAAAGAAATTAACTCGACTTTAAGATAGTATGGTTGGGATAGTACTATCTTATGCCAGGGTAATTTACTGTGATTAAACACCTGTGTAGACATTGACCATGGGGGTAAAATGTGCCCAGCCAGCAGGAGGCCAAACTCATGCCTGCTGTCCACACACGCAGTTCCACATTTCAGTGCCCTCATGCCCCAGCTAGCCCCTCCGCCACCCAACACAGCCACCCAGAACCTGCGCCCCCTGCCAATCTGGGCCTGCTCTGCCCTGGTTCAAATTGCTGCTGTCCCAGGCTCATGTGTAGATGTTGTGCCCAGGAGTACTTAGTCCAGGTCAAACTGCTCCAGAGTTTATTGCTTTGCATTAATTGCATGTATAGATGCACCCTCATACTATTAACTAACTGTCCGTGAAGACTACTAGATTGTGAGTGAAAGCTCTTACTGACTTACTTGGAGGGGTTAAGCAAAATCTAAGTGATACACAGGCTCTGGGCTGACACTCTGCAGAGGTGAATTTTCACTTGTAATGGTATTATAAAATCAGAGATGAAAAACATTTGACATTGTCTCTATAAAAATAAAGTAATCTTAGAGAAAGGCAGCATGTATTGATAGTTCTGGAAACGAACGTCTTCATTTTAACAACACCCAAAAACTGCACACACAGCAACACCTAGTTACTCTGAAGAAGCATGAAAGGAAATATAATATAGGTACATCACAAAAATCCAGATAGGTAACAATAACAGTTTAAAATACAGTATACATACAGCAACTTTTTCATCAAAATAAAAATGAGATTTAGTTTAAATGGTTATTACCAGCCAGCCAAAAGAGTGTTTTGAAAGATGTATTTATTACTGCACATTCTGAAGGCCAGTACTTTCAAGTTCAACAGGTTCACTTTAAATAATACTTGTCAATTTTTTGCAAAACATTTATATCTCAAAAAGAGGTTTCTAAAATTACTGGTAGAAACACATATGTGTCTGCCTTCATCTGGATTCTTGGATTGAGATATTTTTTACATTTAGTTTACTAGGATTGAATTGTGAGTTTTTCTGTGGTTTTTATTCATTTAGTAATGAGTAAAGAAAGGCCAAAAAGGACCCAAAATATATTATCTGTACACTTTTATCTCCTCTCCAGCACAGAAGTATAGGATCAGCTGTCTATATAGGATTTGATCCTGTGTGGGTTCAGGACCAATGAGGAGGGACGTGGCAGGTAGTAGATGATTCTGCATTCATGTGCTGATATATACCATACTCCCCTCCCCTCGAAAAAAACTGTAACCTAAGATTGGAATACCCTTACTGAAGAACTTCCAAGATAGTCCGTAGTGTGATACTTCTTTTGGAGCCACATGGACAGGAAGCAACATGACTGGAACCCATTATGTGAGTGTGCAGCCTTCTACAGAATCTCTTGTTTTTGTGGGTAAGTCCTGTTCCTATTGTGAGCACGACCATCAGTACAAAGCTCTGGTGATCTCATGGAATCCCCCTCTGCCCTATGTCTCCTGTGCACTTTTCCAAGTGAGGGGGAAGCCTGGGTCTGAGAAAGTGTCTTAGGGTTTGGCCCCTAGTATTTTTTTCTTAACAAAACAGATAAGCGAGAACTGAGAGCATGGATGCATTTTTGTACAAAGCTTTTGCTCTATAATTGTAAAGAGGACAGACCTGTGATGTCAGTATTGGAATGAAGGACATAGTCTGGAGGGTGTAATATGCAAAGGAAACATAGTTTAATGCCCTGTAGACAAAATAGTGCAATTAAAAATCTATTTGAAATCCATTCTCAAGATGGAATTCAATTTGCTTTAAATAGTTCTGCCCTATGTTTGACCCCTCTCCAGTATATTTGACTAAATGGTTTTAGATAATTTACTGCATTACTCCAAATTGTTTCAAATATCATAGGCAATAAGGTGTACAATTATCTATTGGCTTTTTATTTAAATTGGAAATTCAGTGTACACCAGTATGTTCTGTCTCCTTTATCGAAGGCATTCATCTATATGTATTAATATATCATAGCATCGAAAATTCTCCAATGTTCTGTAGCATTCTTATATACTTAAATGGGACACCTCATTAAAAGAAATGTTGGTGGAAGAAATAGAAATGTTCCTCCAAGAGAAAAACTATTACAACATAACTGAACTTTCTTAAATATATATGCAAACCTAAAAAATGCAATTAATAAACAGAGAAAATAATATCATAATAATAGTAATGAAATTGGAGCTGTTCAGGATTTTTTTTCCAAGTAGATCTTTCTCCATTAAAAATGCCTCTTTGTCAAAATTTCACTAAAATAAGCTAGTTTTGGCACAAGAAAAACGTTAGTAAATGACCTCATGGTTACAAGTATTTACCTAAGGCAAAATAGATTGGCATTGAAATCTCCTCTCTGCCTGATTCAGAGTCAAACATTTTTAAAGGTGTCTTATATTTGATATAGGACAGTAAAATTTTACAGGAGATGAAAACCATTTCCTACAAACTCAAAATGATGCACTGAAACGATTCATCGTATAATTGCTGTATACTGGCAATAGGGTTCCAACCAATGATATGGTGCTGTGTTGTTAAACTTTTGGAATAAGGGTATTAGAACCTTTTTGTTTTGCAACATCCTTATCCCATCAAACCTACAGTACTCATTGGAGAAAGAAGTTTTATCTTGACAGCCCAGATACGCTTTTTATAACACATTGCATTTTATGATTCTTCTGCCACTTAGTTGATTTATTCGCAAAGCTGACAAACTTGATTCTCTGTTCACTCTTCTATATCTTTGACATGCAGTAAATACAAAAAGTTTTTAAAGTTTATGGAAAACCATTCATATGATACTATAACAACTGAACTGTAGTTGTGTGAATTCCTCTGTGATCTGTCAAAATCCTTTGAGGAGGAGGAAGAAAATGAGGTTTATGCTAAGCCTTTAACCTTCTTACATAATTGTTCTATTAAGATTACAGGCAAGATCCCTCTTTATATCTGGGACCGGACCCAAGGTACATAAATCAATTTCATTTCTTGCTAAAGCATCCCATCTCTCCTTCCATGAATCTACATAAAGGAAATATGGATACATCACTGAAAAAACAAATAGTGTAGAAGACAAACGGGTTTTCAGCCAAGTGGTCCTCTAGGGTAATTTGGAATCTATATGTTTCCTGATGATGTCCAGTTATATCTAGCTAACACATAAGCAAAGAGCTTCAAATGTTGTAATTTTGTTGGCTCTCTTATTTTCATATCTGAAGTGTGACAAAACTGGTTATCAGAGCAAGCAAAAATCAGAAACCAACATTTGAACATTGACTAGTGATTTGGGGAACCACACTGGAAATCAAATTTAAGACTATGGGTAACTCAGCACTTGAAACTTGACTATATTGTTGGTGTCACCTTGGCTAGATTTACAGTCGGAGAATAATGACTCCAAAATAGCAAGTACAAACAGCTACAAACTCAGTTTGCAGATAAATCTTCCTGCAGTTTTTTAGTGTCAGTTTGAGGTCCTCAAGTAGTACATCCCCACAAACTGGAATGTGTATTTCCCCAGGGACAAAGAGCAGTGACACAATGTGTGTCATGAATGACTGGTGACTCCCATGCTTGGGGTGGGGATCATGGCGGTGAGTGGGGACCACCCGCAGCTGCCACCAGTGGTGTCAGTGGTGAGGGAGTGGTGGCAAGGGGCAGGCAGTGAGTGGGGATTGCCTACAGCCAGAGGCGGCTGCATCAAGAGTGGTGGGGGGCAGTAACTGCCTGCAGACGCCACTTGGGGGGGGGGGGGGGGGCACGTGCCTCCCCCTACATATCGCCGATAGTGTGCGTCACTGCTACCTGCCTTTGGGGAACCCCCATGCCTGTGCACTCTGGAGCACAGCACATTGCCCCATGTGGGGTAGGGGAGGCTGGGGGCAGCAGTTGGGCTGGCCCCAGCAGCCCTACCTGGGGTCCTAGGAGCCTCTGGGAGCTGCAACCATGGCAATCCTGGAACAGGGAGTCTAGCTGGCAGCTGGAGCATGGCTCCAGCTTACTGGGCTCCAGTTTCAGGCAGCATGTGCTGCTGCCACATGCACCTCCCTGCTTTTTTTAGGAGTGGTTTTTTTTAACACCGGGATCTCTTGGTGTCACCACCTCCCCACCGCAAATTAGCAGTACAGGGAATGCATGCATGTGCAGCGCATGTGGTGTATGGTGCCTCAGACAGGTCTGTGGTGCTGTATACTGCATGTGCACACTCATCTGGACATGCCCAATAGGGTTAAAGGGCTTTTGCAACACTTTTTCATGCTCA